TAATTTCTAACTTCTAATTTTTTATTAAATATGGATTTATGGAAACTAATTATACAAAATCTCCATTTCTTTTAAATGATTTTTATGTAAACTCTGATTTTATTACACTTATCAAGTTTAGTTTTCCACTACTTCTGGGCTAGTTTCTATCCACGTCAAATTTACTAGTTGGTGTCTGTATCCTAATGGTAATATTTTATTTCATTATTTTTGATTTCACATTGTATTAGACTGCTTTAATAAATCTTCAATAACATGATGCTGATTTTCTTTAATACTGAGAATAGTATATGGAGATTTGAAGACTTTGATGGTTTGTGATTCTTATAATATAGATAATATTGTAGGTTATTCTTGTAGGTTGTAGGAATATTTTAAGCTCAACGTGATTTGTAAAAGGAAATAGTTGGATTTTTAATTCCTCTCAAATTGAAAAAAAAAAGTGTTTTTAAAGGATATAGTTGAAAATAATTATGCAGTAGTCTTACATTTAAGGAAATAAAATATTTTTTAATTTTTTCCGTAAGAAGTAAAGAATTCTTTGTATGCTTCATTAGTCACTTATATTTACAAAAGTGCTAAAATTTATGTTCACAAATGAAATCATTAAGCTTCAGAGCCATATATGATCATTAAGATCATTAAGCTAAGAGTAGACTATAAAATATCAAAGACATTTTATAGTATTTTGTTTTGAATAAAATTTTAGAAATTTCATATATTACAACAAATATTAACAGTATTGAGATTTGTTTTAATAAATACATTACTTAATTACAATTTTCGAAATCCTTTTGGGAAGTAATAAAGCTATAGGTATTTATAATCGTAAGATGCAAATGTTAAATTATACTGAAAATGTCTGCAACGTAAAAGGCTAACACGTTAAAAATATTCTAATAAAGACATTTTAATGTTCATTCATTCATCGCAAGGTTCTGCTCTTTGATAAAGTAATTTTAAATCGATTGTAAGTTTTAAATCTATTATAGTCTTAAACAATTTCATATTTTACCCACGCATCTGTTGGCAGGTAGTGCCGCTCGTAGAAAAACGAGTAGCTTACCTTATCGAAAAGGTAGGGAAACTTGTTCTAATAGGATGATTTTTAACTTTTTAATATAAACTAATATTGTATTCTGAAACTTTTAATTAAGGAAACCTCGATTAACTTTAGTATGTATCTTCCTACCTTTATGTTAAGAATGTGCATTAAGGGGGAAACTTTCTCAGTTCAGAATTTATGAGGCCAATTCAGGTACAAATTTTCATTTCACATCTAACTATCAAATAGATTTAAGTAGAATGTGAATGCAAGTATTTAAATTTTATTTAATCATTTTAGATGACATTTATCTTTTCTTTTTATTTAATGCATTAAACATGTTTAACGTCACATGATATTTTGTACTTTCCGCGTACATCAAAGTAAAAAATCTTCCCGTAATCAACCTCTATCCCAATCACCTTTCATTTGATCGGCCACTAAAATTTTCAAGCTAACACCAATTAATTATTTGTTGAAAAAGGTAATTTTTATGAGAAAAAACAAAATGAAACCCAATAGATAATTTTGCTTTTGAAGGTATTTAAATTTTTTATCGAAAAATGTTACTGAACCGATAAGAAGTTTTACTCAGCTTCAATTGATTACTATTAGAAAAGGATCTTTTATTGTGATTAATTGAAAATATATAAGAGATACTTTTGAATAGTTTATTTCTTACTTTTCTTTTCACTAAATGTTGCATATAAATATGCCATCATAGTACTTTAACAGCTTTTGCTTTCAATTTGATGGCATTTTCGAAATTCAGTCTGCAGATTACTTAGTAAATGTGGCTTTACCTTTAACTACTTCTACTTGCAGTAAAGTATGATGTACAGGCTTAAATCCTCAAGCTTTTAAACAGCATTAAACAGAATATTTTAGATGTGTATTGTACATATTTCATAACTACAATTTTTCATGTAAATTTCTTTAGCATTTCTTCTCTTTTCAATTTTTTACTTGATTAATTGCTTGATTTCATTGCTTTAATTATTAACTTTCGCGTCTAATACATAAGAATAAATGAGATGTACCATGAGTGTATTCTATAACCTTTATTAAAAATAATGACTTGATACAATCGGTACATATTTATTATTATAAGTGTTTATTATTTCACTCATGGTGTTCACTATGGGTGAAATTTTGTCACCGGTTTTTAAACTTGTTACTAACAAGCTAGTTTCAATTTTGTACACATACTATTTTGATGACAATGCAATGCAGTGAAGTCATGGTTTTTAAAATTCGATTTAAATTCTTTTTACTTAATGTTTAAGCGATTTTTTTCCACATATCTTCGTTTAACGAACAACCTACTCATAGAAATTTACTGGTTGCACCGAAGAATATAGCCGAAAAATATCATTCAGGTAAAATTTGTCTGGAAATAGTAATATGTTACATAATTCTATTTACAAAATTCATCTACAGTTTTATATCGCGATTAATAAAAGTGCAGAGCACTTCAATAATGAAATCTATTAATTTAGTTCTATTCTTAAGTGTATAATCCATTAACTTTTTTAATTTTCTATTAATTTAATTACATTGCCAAATGTATACGCAATTATTTTTTTCTGTTTTCTGTTAATTTAACTACATTGCCAAATGTATAATCCATTATCTTTATTTGCTTATTTTTAACTAATATTAATTCCATCAAAAAATAAAAACGTTTATTTAAACTCCACCAAAAATAAGGATCAAATAAAATTGAATATCTAAAATTGTTTACATTTCAATAATTATTTTATCTCTTGCTAGTGTAATATTACTTTTTAATAACTTTGATAAACATTATAATTCAGAATTTATTTCATAAGAAAATTTGATTAATAGTCTTTAGCAAATCCAGATATGATTGAATATCTTCATTACTTTACCACTTTTTTAGCTTATATGGAAGATATTAAAGCTATAGGTATTTTAAATCATAAGATACCAATGCCTATGCTAAAATTGCTTTTAGAGTAAAAACCTACCAATATGTAAGAAATGGATAATGGATATTAATGTTATTTTGATTGATTCGATGCACACAGAATCATAAAAGCTTGATGAAATTTATTTTTTTCCAAAACACTTTACAGTTATGGAAATTTTCACACAGAAGTACTCGTACAACTCTTCACAGTATGGCACAGAACAATCACTAGTTACCCCTTGAAACTACTAAGAAAATTGCACATGAGCCTATGAAAGAAATGAGCCTATGAAAATTGCACATGAGCGAAACCTCGCACGGTGATCTCGCAATGCTCTAAACTCAATTCTTATCTAAACTGAAATCCTATGCTCTCTCTGGTTTTATGTAGTTTTCCTCGTTCGACGAGAAATTTCTAATACTCTCGATTTCTCGAAATTCCTGGAAGGCATACACAGTTAGAGTTGCATATTGTGGATTACAGTTACATTTGTAAAAAAATCGGACCAGTTTCAGTTATATGGGAATGGGACAAAAATTTCGCCAAATGATCGTCAACTTCGGCTAATTTTTTAATTTCTCGCCAAATTTGCTGATAACATTTAGTTGCAGAAACCGTCACCAGCGTGTCGCTATCTCGCCAGTTTGTTAAATGTGTCAGTTATTTTCCTCGATATTACTTACCCCTGTAACCCTGTTTTTTCGGCGATGTTATGAACTTTAAAGGCATTTCTTGTTACATTATGTAACAATATAATTTTTAAATTGAGAGATTCATTTCTTTAATAAAAAATTTGATTTTAAACCGTTAGATTCCTCCTGCATTTATTGTTTAAAACTATGAAATGAATAAGTAATATCACTACTTGTTTGTTTGCATCATGTCGTAATAGCATTTTTATTGCAGCAAGTGAAGTAATCTTATATAAAAGTCAGTTCTTTAAACTAGGAAGCCATGCCAGCAATACTCTGCAGACTCCTTTTATTACTTTTTCCGATATGCTTTTAGCAGACTTCCACAATTAGCGCTTCTACAATTTTTATCGGTATTCTGCAGGATGGTATTACGAGTCCTTCCAGAGATTCAGTTTTTTTGGATGATTTTCGATGTAAGCAATCATTTTCACCACTTCTGCAATGTCGAAAGGCAATACTGCTACATTAAAATCACATTTCAAGATTTTACCGTCATTCTTTTACGCTATTACACCCTCTGCAACCGTATTTTCTGTTATTTGTATGATCGACTTTATGAACGTTTGTTCTAACGCAGTGAACTCCATGACCTGTAAACTTCTTGAACTTTATTTTCAATGCAATAGCATTTTTTTTCATTCTTCTTTCATTTAGATACATTTCAAAATCTATAGTTGATATAAAAAATATGATTAATTTGGTTATTTTTATTTAAAATTTGAATAAATCTAATTAATGATGAATGTCAGACAGTACCTGTTGACCACTGGTAAAGACCAGCTGTCCCCATTCGTTATCAACAGAACTGAACTGCATGTTTAAAGCCATCTTGGTTAATGTTGTAATCTCACCAGGTTACCCTTATGTTAAAGTAGAACGAAGTTTAATATAATATTTACCCTTTCCCTTTACAATATTGTCACACTCTATATGCATTTCAAGAGTGTAGACATATTTTTCCCCCATTTCTCAATTAAAAATAGAGAACTTTCACTCAGATTTTTAAGTTTTTACTTCAAAATATTCAACTTCTGTCGAATAAAGTTAAACAAATTAAAATTTCTGATATGTTTAGTAACAATATTTTTTCATAACTTTTATTGCTGAAAATACGGAAACCACTCCTTACAAAAAAATATGATCGAAACCTTTAAATGTAACATTACACATGACTGCAATTACATAATTCAGCAAATCGGAAGGAATTATATATTTGCTATTCATATTTTCAAGTAAATGATTTTACTTGTTTTATATGTTTTTCGTTCTCATGCTTGTGAAGCACAAATAGTGATTTCGTTTCTATGTAGCTCTTGAAAGAAGTTTTGAATGAACAGTTTCGCAAGCATTGTCGAAAGCCGAAACTATAATAAGAAATAGATCATGATGAAACAGAGCATAACTCTAATATAGCACCTTATTTCTGCGATGAATTGAACTATGGGAGTACAAATGAGAAGTGACATCAGAGTGTTATGTTCCTTTCTACGGTTGCCAATGGGTAGAAATTAATCTTCAGATCGCGCAGCAGTTAATAGAAACTGTCAAAACAATGGCTGGACAAATATTTTTCGTTTGCTCTAAGCTTCATATCTAGAGGAATGAACAGAGAAAGTAGTCATATGACAAAAAAGGAGCATTTTTCTGCAAATTAAATATTTTAAACCAACATTACAGAACATTACATTTCCTTACTTTACATGCTTTCTAATAAACAATCAAACACATTTAACATTTCTGTGCTGTTATAAACATATTAAATGGTAAAAAATTGAGTTTTATAATTATAGCTGTTTCAAACATTCCTGTCAATTTTTATGCTAAAGAAAAATTTACATGTATTTTGCTGAAAAGAAATTAATAAAATAGACAAGGAAATCATATGCGATCGTTATTATTGAGAGGAAAAGGTACCAAAAATACATACTTGCAAAAATATGCAGCTGCATACTTCAGTTTAAAACCTTAAGCATATTTTACTCAAAAATGTAAGTCATTCGATTTGTTGGGGCTAGCATAGTATAGATGATTAATTATCAATGCCACATGCTTCCATTGCTATTCAAGATGCCACATAGCAAATAATTATAAAGAAAACATAGCTTGCTACCTCCAGAGCAAGTTAAGGTTCTAAATATAATCTGAAGTAAGTACTCCTGTAAAAGATAAAAATTATATTTTTTTACAATATTATTCCCCTTGGTTAAGAGGGAAAATGTTTTAAAACTAAATTTTTCAAATGTAATCTTTAAACTGTAAATTAGCTGTGGAACCGATTTTTCGATTAGTTTCATGTTTTAAAATAGCTGTGTTAAACCTTTACACCCCGAGAATTCACAGTACACAATGGCCTGTGACCTTGAAAATGCTTTTTAAAACTTTTTTGTTGGGTATCATACATTTGTTTCTATTAAATAATTGTTATTTATAATAATTACTAAAGGAATGATAGCAAATGGAAATCGAATTTTTAAATGTAAAAGCTAATGTCTACTGATTAATTCATCAAATCCCAGCCTAAAATGGTAAAGCTAAAATTGTAAAATTTAAACAATGTGTTGTTTGTATAACATAGGCTCTCGTTAAGAAATAATTTTTCTCCCGCCACTTACGTGGCTTGAAAAAATATTTTCTTTTTTCTTAAAATACCCATGCATCGAAGGGAAAAAACTGGAAGAGTAACTATTAGAGTACAAATTTTTAATTAAAAACATACAAGCATGTTACATTAAATATAAAAAATCTTTTTTAATGTTTTATAAAGTTTTTACAGTTTTACACAGTTTTTTAATTCCTGTGTTCACTTATATATAATTCGAAAGTATCACAGAAGTGTTTGCATTATTTTATCCTAGATGCAAATTCCTAAAACTTAAAGAGTTAAAAGAACCTAATTTTTAATAGTACTGCTATTCAAAAACCTTTGATTTTTGTAATCCGCGCAGCCGCATATCAAATCACATGTGTAATAACGAAGATTTCTAACATTTAGAATTCAAATCGTAGGATGAAATGTAGCAAAGATGTGAGCAAAGTACATTTTATTATAGGGATAATAACGTAGCGTATTCGGAAACTAAGTACCGTTTCATTCTAGCGCCCTCGCCGCGCTGTGGTAGGCGTCCCGCGCATGCGCACTAGTCTTTCTTGTTCACTGACTTTCAATTGTCGCCATTTTGGTTGCTCTATGTTGTGTTTTCAGTTTGCTGTGCACATTCAAAAGATTTAAGATAATTAGTTCTCCCGCTGACTGTGAGATTCGTGCCGTGATTAAATGTTTGACGTGCCGAAATTTATCGTCAAGTGACAGAAGTTTACGGTGAATACGCGATAAGTGATGGATGGTGAGAAAGTGGGTAAGAATGTTTAATGCAGGTCGAACAAATGTCCACGCCGAGGCTCGGAGTGGTCGGCCTTCTGTTGTCACCGATGATTTGGTAAGGAAAGTTGATGAAGCAATTCATGAGAAACAGACGCTTCACAATGACAACCTTTCAGAGGCATTTCCACAAATTTCACGTACTGTTTTGTTCGAAATTGTGTCTGACCGCTTGAATTATCGCAAACTGTGTTCCCGATGGGTTCCAAAAATGCTCACTGATGTTCACAAAACAAGCGATATGGTTGCCCTGACATTTCTCACGGCGGTACTGTGATGAGGGAGAAAACTTTTAAACCAAACTGTGACAGGTGATGAAACTTGGGTGTGCATTTCACACCAGAATCGAAACCAACAATCGATGGAGTGGAGACACCCTCATTCTCCCAAAAAACAAAAGTTCAAAGTGACAATGTCATCACAAAAAAATCATGTGCACTGTCTTTTGGGATAGGAAAGGCGTCTTGCTTACTGAATTTCTTCCCAGAGGTGAAACCATTAATGCGGCACGATATTGTCAGACTTTAAACAAACTAATGCGTGCCATTCAAACAAATGAGAGGAATGCTCAGTAAAGAAATTGTTTGTTACTCCATGACAATGCTCGGCCCCATACTGCTGGGTGTCACTCAATCGTTAATTCGACAGTTTCATTGGGAGCAGTTCGATCACCCGCCGCCGTACAGCCCGAACTTGGCGCCGTGTCCGACTATCACTTGTTCCTGCACATGAAGCGCGAGCTTGGTGGCAATCGCTTTGGATCTGACGATGACACGAAAAATGCTGTGGAGTCGTGGTTATCGAAACTGGCGGGAAGTTTCTTTGACGATGGTATACAAAAACTGTCACCCGCTATGACAAGTGTTTGATCATTGGCGGAAACTATGCTAAAAATTGTTTAAGACATGTATTTTCATGTAAAAATAAAATTGGATTCGAAAAAATTGTTTTTACTATTTTTTTTTTTTTTTTTTTCAAAACGGTACTTAGTTTCTGAATACGCCTCGTTTATTCAAAAATTAAATAATCTTCGACAAAATCCAAAGTTATATATGAAAGGGAATTCATTGTAAGCAAAGTAAGGACTGAAATGATTCCTCCAAATTTTGCTGCGTTATAAAATTCACCTTATCGAATCAGTAACTCTAAAGTCTTAAGTTCTTATATTATTCCTACTGTATTGAATTCAACGGCAAAAAAATTAATCCTGTACTCTCAATTTATTCAATTAATATTAGTATAATTTCAAAGATAACTCAGTACTCTAATGTTATTCACATTAACATTACAGTATATAGAAGAGAGAGTTTCTTCGCTAAATATCATCTTTTACATAATTTAATATATAAGAAGATTAAAATAAATCTTCTTGCTTACTGACAATCTTGTGCAATTAAAATTTTTTGAATCGGTAGATAGTAATTAATAACATAATATATTAATTCTAGACAACAAAGCATCAAGAAATATTCTTCCACGGACATCTGTCTAGCAAGCGAGATTACCTAATTGCCATCAGGGCGCTGTTTATTCCGCACTTCGTAACTAGGTCGTAGCTTTGCATGACCTCGTTTCGGAGGCAGGCTGTTTATTAATTCCTCCACAATGGCAATGCACTTATTAAAATTATTCGGCTACGCTTTCGGTCACGAAAGCTTTTCCAGATCGTAAATGCTGAAGTTTATGTATTCATAAACAATCACAGAGTGTATTTTGTAGCCCAGATGTAAGCAGAAGCGAAGTCGCATATTAGAGGGAAATTAACGAGCATTCGAAATGTATGCTTCTTTATTTTTCCGTTTTAATCGTATTGTATTATTATGTCCAATAGACCTGTAAAATTAAAGATATATATAAAATTGCATATATATATATATATGTATGTATGTGTAATATTTTTGAAGCATAGAAGAAGAATCAGCTTGCAGTCGTTGTGGCTTATGGTGAAGGCTTACAGATGAAGATAACAAAACATGAGCTTATAGAATTTCCAGTCTTTATTTCCACGCATATAAAATCATCTCCGTAGATATTTATCCAATCATAATGAAATCGGATACATTTCTATGATTCCATCATAATGAAATATGATAAATTTCTCATTTTAGAGAAGCCAAGCGAGAAGATATTAGTAAGGCAGCAGGTAGCAGCATAACTACGTAATTAGCTCGTCAGAGGTATTTATACTAGAGTAGGTGCGATTGTAGATACAAGCTATGATTGGTTAATATTAGAGTTAGTTGCCCTTTTCCAGTAGCGTTACATAACGCAGAAAAATCTCGAATTTGGGAGAACATATGAATTAGTGGAGGAGCACCAATTCTAGAATGTTAATTTTAAGATCGCAATTATTTTTAAAGCAGCTATTGTATTTTGTTGTATCTTACATATTTATATTTATATGTAATATATATATATATATATTATCGTTAATATCAGAGAAGTCGTTTTCATATTACAATACTAACCACTATCAACAACAGAGGGAACTGTCATAATTTTAATAGTAATATTTTCATCCGGAAAACAATATCGTGCTACATGCCCTTCACTTCTGAATTTTTTTATTAAATTCTATTAGTAAACCTTAAAATCTGTCTCTCATAAAGTAGCTGACTGAGGACGTGACGTAAAAGAAATAAATTTAGGATTATATCCTATAAAAATTAAAACCTTTTTCTGATATCTTATTTTCGACAGAAAATATTTCTATTAGTAATTTGTGAATGCAGTGTCCCTGCATTTGAAATGATGATTAGCGATTAATGACGATGATCAGTGAAAATTAAACTTTCATTAAAGGATGAGTATATAATCTAATTCGTATCATAAAATATAGATTTTCCTCGTTACTTTTCTTTGGTACCATAATTCAAATAATACGTGTACAATATATTAATTTGTGTGGTTACAAAGTTTCATACTGAAATAATTTTAACCATTTTGTAAGTTTCTACGCATTCTTATCGACTTTTATTGCTGCTTTGAAAGAATAATAATTCCCCAGTACTTCCTCTTAGATATTTGCCTTTGGGCTGAAACAATATTAGTAACAGTTTCTTAATGTTCCTGTAATTAAATTCCATTTTTCTGAACTCTTAAATCAGCGTTATATTGTTTTAAATACCCAGTTTTCATCCCCTTTAAGTTCCTCTTTCAAATTTTTCCTCTGATGTTCCGTCACTTTAATAAACTTTTACATTGATACTCTATAGCGGTGCAACTATTTTGAAAAATTCTCAGTATAGTCATATTTATAGACTGGAAAACTATCCTCTGAATAACAATACTTTGATGCTTAAATACTTTGCTGTTATGCTAGTTTTTTTTAATTTAAAGAAACTGAAATCCTCGTGCACCACAAAGTATCACACAAGACTTACAAATCGTAAGTAAAAAAGGCAAAATTGTAAATAATAACATCAGTTTTCAATAATACAATGAAATCATACACAAAGAAAAAAACACAAAAAAAGTAAATACAGAAGTATAAAAATGTATAAAGAAATCATTTACAATGTTTAAAATAAAAGTCAACAAAATCGTTGAAAGCTCGGTAGGCCGAAGCTGAAGATACAAAATCGTAACATTTTGGCGGCCAATGAATTCCAGTTAATTTTAATCTGCATTTCAATATATTTCTTGCTTTATAAAGTAATGGGCAGTCAAAAAGCAGGTGGAAAACACTTTGCTGAACGCTAAGATTGCAATAACGCAAATTGGAAGATGTCAGCTTAAATCGTTCAAGATAAACATTAAACTTACCATGTCCACACAAAAATTGCGTAACTTTAAAATTGAGCAACAACTATTCACTTTTCAGTCTTTCAAAAATAGTTGAGAAGAATGTTTTGTATCAGATTCCTTATCTTAAGAGATATAATCAGAATTCCACTGTTCAATCATTTTAGCTTTGAATGCTTTTTTAAATAAGATTTTGGAATATTTACATCAACATTAATATCATTTTCAGTTGCATTCTTAGCAAGCCAATCAGCTCCCTCGTTTCCATAATTGCCCGATTGACCACGGACAAATGTAAAAAACACTGAAATACCCTTCTTCTCCAGATCTCCGAGAGTCTGCTGTATATTAACAATAATATCATTACATAAAGAGGTATTTTAAGGGATTCTATGGACGAAAGTGAATCCGTACAGATTAGGTAGCTGGAACCACCTGCATCCTGGCTAATTATCCACTTAATTTCAAAATTAATACACAGAAGCTCAAAAATATATACAGTACATTCATTTCTAATGTGAAATTGGTTGACACTCAATTTCAATATCATCTTCAAAAATAACATAAGCAAAACCAACTTTATCATCAATCCTACTACCATCCGTATACAACACAAGGAATGAATTACATCAGGTCCGTACTATCCAGAATCTTACTGCTGTCTTACAGAAGGATGTGGAAGAACGGACAAGGGCATAACGAGTAAATGAGAACGGAGTAGTAGTTTGCAAGACATTCTTGTAATCTATGAAGGTGAGAATAAACAAATCCAGTGGTGGAAATCCGGCAAGAGAGAAAACAGTATTGTAAATAGTTTGGTAACCCCTTATAACTCGCTAAATTTGTCTTTGAACTCGAAGCAGCGTTTAGAGTTAATTTTCTTTTTAGAACATCCCCAAGCTATACATCCACATGAAATAAAGGGCACAATGCCTTGTTTATAAATAATTGCGCTAACATTCGATTTAACACAAAACAATTACATGCAATTCGATTCCACATTTATTAGAAATGTAAGAAATATGCTTTTTCCAGTTTAATTTGCTATCTAACGAAACACCTAAATATTTAATTTCATTCACCCTCTCAAGGAGATTGTCACTTAAAAGCAGTTGATATCCTTCATAAGTAATATTTTTTCTATCAATAAACATAATCTTGGATATTGCATGGTTAAAGTTTAACTTAAAATCTATTGAGCAATGATAAATGAAATCTAAAGTATCTTGGGCGAGATGAAAAGCTTTTTGCATTTCTTTTCCTTTAATACAAATCAACAAATCATCTGAAAAGGCAAGTACTTCACAACTGAAGAGATCAGGAAGTTTTTGTAAGAGATCATTCATAATAATAATTCATAATAATAAGCTTGGGACCGGAAACAAAGCCTTCTGTGTTTATGCTAGTTTGTAAGCTGGCACTAATTTTGTAAGCTATTTCTGGCACCTTAACGAAGTTTTAGAAGGGAATCCATGCCTACGGAATCCGAAACGAAGATTTGAAATTGGAGATATGAATGAAAAAATAACTTCTCGTGAATAAAATAGCATCTCACCAATAAGGAGCAAGAATTTAGAGTTCTTGTGCATTTCTCTGCAATATGCACTTCTTTAATAACAATAATAAGCATTCGATAAGTTGAAAATTTGAATTATTTTACTCATTTATCTAACTACAGACTTATTACTTCTTAAATACTACTATAGTATTTTAAGTCCTACTTACAATTATAGTGATTGTAAAGCTACCTGGTATGCTGCAGGATATCAGGTAGCCACGGCTGCAGGATTTGAGTTCTCAAACACAAATAAACATGGCCTACGAAATGGCACATTTTTGATGAAATAATGATTGAAAGGAGAAAAAGTACTCTGGTTACTAGACTGAGTGGAATTCTCCGAGTTTCTAAAATCCAAAAAGCTGAGAGAAATTTCATTTCTCTGATTTAAAATGCAACTTAATAGTTGTTTGGGCTATTTTTCTGCGAGAGAATGCGTATTTTAAATTGATATATGGACTAGCGTAAAAGTACAGTTCATGAGATTATTTATTCAATGTAAGAATCATCAAACTATGAGCAGTCTGAAATAATAATTGACAATGGACTATATTTCATCTTAACATTTGAAGCAAATTACCAAAAGCAAAACTGCACTGCCTCCTCTTCAGAAGTATCTTAGCCCGTCCACAGTCTGACAGGATAACAGCGATGTACAACGACAAATTGATCCAATACCAAAACCTGACGAAAGAAAAATTACTACTATACGACATATTATTACTATATGACGTCATATTCTGACGTTGAAGAAAGCACGCGATTGCATGTGACGTCACTGTATGTCGATAATTGTTCGTTAATATCAGCATTTTCAATAAATAGCTACTGTTGGCAACTTTTTTGTTTCCGGTTAGTATAATTGACGCGATATGTTATTTCCACGTTAATTCGTTCATTAACATTGAGAAAATGTTGTTACATGACAATAAATTTAAATCCTGACGTTATGCGTATTAATCTGAAGTGTCAAATATTTTTGCTTCCACGTTCGGCAATAAAAAATGTTTTATGAATTGTTTGTTGCGTGGAAAGAATGAACTAATCTCTTTCATAATGAAAGCTTTTCATACATTTGCTTTTTCAGGGGTAAAAAAAAAATAGAACTGAGAGTTTTGCCTTGGCTGCAACCCGCCTATCTAGAGGGCTTGCCCGCTAGTTTATATTTAGTTCATCTGTTACGTTTGTGATTTTGACAAAGTATTTAATCTTGTCATGTGTGTGTTTTTACACATCGTATTCATATTTGAAATAGATGTGTATTCTAATCACAGACCTTAAAAAAGGAAAATTTCAAAACGGTTCTAAGCTTTAAATTGTAAATTTTTTCTACTTTAGCATAATTTGAGATAGATTGTTTTTCATAGTATTGGGAAACAAAACATAAAATTAAGAAACTAGAAGTTATAATAAATATTTCCTCCAAAATTTAAAGTTAGAAGATGGTGGTCGTAATATGAGAAGATTAAATAAAAATATTTTATCTTATGTTTTGCATTACATATGTTAAAAAAATTATCTTTTCAACGCATATATTCATAAACGAAGAAGATGAAACGCAAGTATCGCAATTTTTTATTTACATATTCCAATCTTATCCAAATAGACTATTTATCACGCACTACTGACAAAATCGCAATCATAATAGCTATTCCCCTTGTGGAGTTATTTCTTGCCAATTTACTCCGGAAAATACACTCCCGGAAAACGCGAGCGCCTCCGTACTGTGTGGCGTAGGGAGCATTGCATAACTAATGTGCACGGAATTAATGCATTATTAATGCCTCCGTATACACGTACACATCTACAAAAACATCGAAATCAGTCCCCACGTTGCAGGAAACTGCAAATGGCTCTTATCATTAGCGGAATTAGTGAGTTTCAGCCACTGGTACACTGTATTGTAACAGGAGGCTCTTTTAGGTTTATTAATGTTATTAGCAAATGAAATAAACGACACTTTTGTAACGAACGTATGCGCTGCAGCAATATTTTGTATTAGTAAAGAAAATTTTTGCATTAGTAAAGAAAAAATGAATTAGAAAAGGAAGTTTTATCTTTATTTTAAAATATTGTAACAAACAAGACATTTTTTCCACAGTTTATAATTTTTATTCAAGGCAAAGTGAAGTAGTTTAGCTAAACAAGAGTTTATAAAGGTCAACGAAAAATACGCATAATCTGGAAAACAAAACTTATGTATATAATACGCTTAATGCATCCTTTTTACTTCCTTGTACGAAGTAAAAAGGAAGTATGTATTGTAATCACACAAAACTTTCAGGCATCCTATTTCAACAACGAAATATCCATTTTGACCGCTATCGAATGCAATTTAACGATATTTTTGCGTGATATCTGTACTTAAGGACAGAATAAAATACTCTTTTTCTTTCAAAAAAATTATAAAACTGCTTTAAAATTAATTCTGAAGAGAATTTTTCGTGGCGTATATAAATATATTTATATATATATCCACTCTGTTACCAGGCTCAGTGATCTCAGTTTCTTTACTCTTATATGTTTGTAAATTGTACATTTTTTGCTTTAAAATGATTGAATTATGCTGTTTTTATCTTCCGGTTAAGGTTTTTATGCCTTTAGTAAATCTGTAAGCAATATTTTTAGAACTATCAACAATTTTAAAGTTGTTTAAGTGCCGCCAAGTTTTTTTTTTTTTTTTTTTTTTGATGGCGGCTATTGATTGTTTACATTTGAAACAGCAGGCTAGTGGATTTGCTGCCAATCTAGAGAAACTTAGCTTCGCAACAACAAAGATAACGCCTTCATTCATTATTGCCAATTAAATCAATTTTTAATATAGATATTTTGAGTTTTTATGTATTTTTGCCTTCTCGCGAAGTGAGAACTGAATTAATTAAATGAGAAATACTCAATCGTCTGTGAAAAACTGTTTCTTTTTTGTTTTGTTTTCTTAATTTCTTTTATACATCATTTTAGCTTTATTATAGTATTTGAATAGAACATGATTAGATAATTCTATTCTTTAAATGATACAAATTTTGTGCATTATGAGTTATAATATGAACGAAATATATAAATTAACTGTTATATAATTATTGGATTATATAAAAGTTAACTTAGTTTCCGTTATATAATTATTATATAAGTTAACTGCTATATAATTATAATACTGTTAAGTGAATCTAGCTCCAGTGTCGCTATGGTAAACAATACTAGAGTGAATTTTAAAGAATGCATTTATTCTATTGTGGTTTATGCGCTGTCGGCGAAGTAGATTTAATTCAATCCAATAAGTTTAAATGAAATGCAAGAAAAAAATGCGTATAATTTAATATTCCGTACAAGGAAGTCATGTGGTGTACACATCAGATTTTTTTCATGCAAAATGATAATGACTATAAAACATTTTATGATCATTAACTGTCAGAAATTAATCTCTCTTTTTCAGTTTTGAAGTTATTATAGCGAATCGGAGATTTCTAAGGTTTTAATTATTATAAGAGAGCATTTTTAAGAGTTTTAATAGTAGATTCCACTTTTATAATTTAGAATATTCTGCCAGCCACATTATTCTTGTTCCCTTCGAAAGAAATTTTTAGCTTATGTCACAACCAGTATATTTACATTTTTTTAAAACACATTTAATTCAAATTTCTTTAATTTTATATTGCTATTAAGTAATTAAATTGCTAGAAGATAATTTACATTTTTTTAATAATTCAATGCTATTAGAGTTTGGATAATTTTTCACTTTTTTTACTAAAAATTAAATAACCTTGGAACTCATACTAATGACATTGACGAGCCTGCAGATTTATGCATAGTTATTCTACATTTGGATACTATATGCCGGTAAGAAGACCACAGCCATACTGGTTTAAATCTCTCTTTTACTGGTACAACTTCATAAGTAATTTAGTAAGTACTTTAATTGGTAAAATTATTACATAAAAATGTCAATTTATTGAGAAAAGGGGATAGATGTTTGCCATATGTAATTTTAAAAATCTGAGATTTTCATTGTAGTTGGTTATATACAGTTAACTTGGATTTTATATGTTTTAATTTATTAGTCCAAAGGGATTTGAGTCCCGAAGGACTACTACTTTCGTTTTGGCATTTTGCGTCGGACTCCTATGTCCTAATGTCCTATGTCCTATGTCCGTCGGACTCCTAATGTCGGTTCACTTTTCAAACTGTTGCCACAAAATGTTAGTCCTGCATCATATTTGAAGAAATTAAATAATAAAAATCTGCATAAACGTATGTATATATGTATTTATATTTCTCGCATTGTGATAAAACAACAGTATCTAAAGCCATCCAATTTTGACTGACGTTATCCTACTGCGAATATGGACATCTGAAATCCCAAATTTGAAATTTGGAATTTCTTTTATTAACGATTTCATATTTTGTAAAACTTTAACGAATTTTTGAATAAAAAACTCAATTATTTAAAAGAGCAATGGCAACACTCTACGGTGGGGGAAAAAACTTTTTATCTCCAGCGCGTCGACTGTGTATCGGTTATTCTAAATATAAGTTAATTTTAAAATTATTTTGCGACATTGCTATTAAACTAAATTTTATGGTTTAAGTGTTTAAGTGTAAAGAACATGATATTTAATAATTAAAACTAACACGCAAAACGTTAAAAACACGCCCCTTTGAACGTAATTTAAAATCTGAAACATTTCGGATTTTTTTTGTATTATTTATCTTATTTTTAAATCTAGGAGAACTACAAAGGCAGGTTTAGACCACTTTAAGTCTTACACTTACAAAGAGTCTGACACTGAGTCTTACAAAGATTAGAAAATGGGAAAATAAACGCATTTTATTTGATACTAACTTTAAAGTGTAAATGGAAATTTATTTTAAGACAAATAACATTATAAAAATAGTAAACGTTTTTTATGTTAGAAATACTATCATTGATCATATATGATTTTACAGACATGAACAATATTCCCTAAAATGCCTTAGGGAATGATCATAATAACCGAGATGTATGTAAACAGAAAGGAATAATTCTAAATAGTGTATTTTAATGGCAGTAGAATCATGTTTCACATTTTATACATAAAAATTGCATTTTGTCTGAAAACAGACACTGAGTTTTGATTAGTAAAACTAACTTTTGTTTTCGAATTAAATTTCTGTGCCAAGAATAATTAAACCGCAAAAATGATATCCGACCGAAAGGAAGATTTTTCACATCTGAATGCATTCTATATACTTGCAAACTTCTATTGTTTAAATGTCTATAATATATGTCTGCTCACTGAATGAGACATAAAGTAACCTCCCTTAATATAAGAAGCCTGACTAGTGGCAGAATCCTTAAAATACCGAATTCTAGACTTTTGAAGGAAATGCGATCTAGTTTCCTTTAGAAAATCTTGCAGCAAGGCATCTTTTTTCTTAGGCAGGTAGCCCTCGTGTGTTTGTCATATTCAAAAAATCTTCAAAAAAATCGTGTCTTTTAAAACATATGAAATATTTTATGGAATCAGGTAAGAAAGCAAAACTCGATTTTATATTAGGAATGATTAATTGCTATGGAAAGCTCTGTCAAAAGCAAAAATACTCTTACTTCTTTATTCGTAAGCATACTTATGAAAAAAAAAATTATTAGTTAACAAAAACGAAAAGAAGAAAGATGCAGAAATTTCTTTGAAACAATTTTTTGTTCTTTT